TATGTATGTATGTATGTATGTATGTATGTATGTATGTATGTATGTATGTATGTATGTATGTATGTATGTGTGTATGTATGAGTATGCGTGTGTGCTTACCAGTTACCACGAGCAGTTAGAGTGCGGTGTAAGTATTTAGCAGCATGTGATGTGGCGTATATAACTAGAAAGAGGAACTAGTACGTCTGTTTACATGCAACAACTCCGACATAAACATAGCGACTCCATCAACTGGAATTGCAGTGAAACACTGGCTGGCGACTGCTTTCATGACTCTATTGTGTCGGCATAGATCAACAGGGTAGGTGTCTCAATTCTAAAAATAGTCGCTAGACTAGTTTAGATGGTAGACGGTCTTCAAGATAATAATTTTTGCTTTCCTTTGCAGTTGCGCGATGTCTACTTCCCTGTGGCTCCCTCAAGTTGTTTCCATTTCCTGATTCCAACCAGATCTTTCTCCTCATAAAGATATTAATTTGGACCGTACCTAGAGAGACGCTCCTTCCCTTGACCCATCTGATGAGTGTCCATTGGCGCTGGACCTATGAGAAAAACTTATCTGCGATGAGGAGGCTGAATTAGACCGGTCCAACTACTTATCTCCCGTGAATTCTTCGTTTATATGCCTGCTCGATTAAAATACTCATACTTGAAGGAGTCAGATTATTTGAGATTATGGTGTGCTGGCTGTCGAGAAGGCTACAGGTTTAGGCGAATGGAAGAACAGTACAGATGAATGGTTTCTACACTCAATGAATCCCTTTAATCCTTTGTAAAACAAGGGCCACTTGCTCACTTCTGGGACAGGCCTCTTTACCTTAGTTTTGACCAACCCTGCTTCAGAAGAGGCCGTGGTGCATTCCCATACAACTTCTGCCCATACTTCAGCAGCTCAGCGCAGCCAAGTATGACAAAGAGAAAGTTGTAGGCAGCACTTAAAAGCACGAAAAACGACTAGTCAGGAAAGGATCAGGGAGAGCGAAATGAAAGCGAAAAATCAGTTTGGTTCCGAGCTGTGGAATGGAGCAGTCGATGAGCATAGGGGAAGGGGGAAGGGTATTATCGGACTGATTATAATTGCCGTTCTGTCTGTTTTTCTCCCGTCAAAGTATGCTATTATCTAAACGTACCTAGTAGTGAACAAGCACTTCTAGAAGCTGGTTGAAGCTTGAGCTCCCACAAAAATTCACAACTCCATTAGAAAACGGTCTAGAGACAGCAGAAAATGAATAAATACTCGTAGCGGAAAAGAGGAGCCAAGGACAAAAATTCAGTTTTCAGAATTTTGGATCAGGTGAATAGGGAAGTATTTTGGATGTGTGCTGATATGGACGGATCCAAAGCCTAACAGTTGGCTCGCTATCAAACAGCATAGGCCCTAGAGCTCGAAAGAAAGAAATGAGGCTAACACAAAACAAGAAGTCAAATGATTTCTAGTAGTTCGGGCCTGTACCGGGCGGAGCCAAAATCAAAATTCGCATTCATGTTGTTCTAGAGTTCGAAAAAATCGGAAAAAGGATAGCAGAAAAAGTGAAATTAAACAACAAATTAAAGGTGTTGGCAAAGTTTTCACCAAAAACTCACAACACGGTTCAAAATGTTCTACAGTACCTTAAAAGAAAATCAGTTGCTAGGGACTAGCGAGGAGGAAAGAATCCAATATTCAAGATAGATGGAGCTTGAAAACCAGTA